TATGTGAAAACTACAGGTCCATATGCCTCTCTCTGGTGGTATATAAGGTGTACAAAAGATCCTGGAGTAGCGGCTAAGATCATACGTTGAACCTGGCATGGAAGAAGAACAAGCTGCTTTCCGGCCTTCAAGACAAACCCAGGACCATATCTTCTCTCTCATGTTAGTTACAGAGAAAACGTTCGACCGGGGACCGAAATATTTACCTTGCCTTTTTGGACCTCAAAGCGGTCTTTGACTCGGTTCTCAGACTGGAGATTTGGACTGCCTAACAGGAAAAGCGGATACCACCAAACCTCATTAGCACCACCGAATCAGATTACCAGGATCCAAAAAGATAAGTTAAATTGAATGGAATGAAATCTGTTCCATTCAGATTTTACAAAGGGGTCAAGCAAAGAGATAGCCTCAGTCCACTTCTGTTTATTATTGTTATGGACGAGGTGTTGAAGGTATGCAAGCGAAGAACACGCAGAGAATTCATTGGATATTTAAATATGCTGCTCTTTCAGGTCCAGTGCTTCGTTAATGCAGACGACATTGTGGTGATAGCAAACAATGCGAATTATCTGCAAGTTGCAGTGGAGGAGTGGTCCGAGGAGTTTAAGAGAAGAGGACTCGCCGCCAAACCTGATAAGAGCAAGATTATGCAGGTAGGACGGCAGGAGGCGCTGCTCAGGATTATGTGTGAAGGACAACAACTGGAGCAAGTTGATATTTATGAATATCTGGGACCTGTCATCAGTCGAGATCGGAAGATGGACCAAAAAGTTATATATTGAGTGGGTAGAGCAAATCAGGTCTTCTTCCAAATTTTCCATAATACTAGTGGACTAGCAAAAGGTGAGCAAAGATATATCTTCTCATCTTTATAACTGTCGACCTCCCGGTCTTATTATATGGAGCTGAGAGCTGGGTACTCTCGTACAAGAATGCCTCACGAGTAACATAAGCAGAAATAAGGTATCTCAGAAGAGTTTCTGGAATGATGAGATGAGACTGCGTGAGAAACAGGACAATTAGAGATACCCTTGGAGTTAGACACGTAAGGGATATTATAGAGGAACGGCAGCTCAAGTGGTATGAACATATCTGCAGGGTGGGGGACGCTCACAGAACTAGGTGGCTGATGGAGGCCAGATCGAGGGGACAGCGACCGGTTGGACGTCCGAGAATCACATATGAAATGAAATGAAAAAATAATTTTATTCTGCGACTACTGTCCCCTAAGAATAATAACAGAGTTACAAATTTATGTATCTTAGTCTGACATAATAAAAATACCAACTAATTTATTGTTAATTGTTATTTCAATTGCGGAATGGATTGAAATTAAACATTGTATAGATGCAAGTAATTTTGTTATATGGTTGTTATATGGACAGACTCGGGCGAGAGCTGGGGTAGACCATAGGGGAGATGAAAAGGAAGGCCCAGGATATAAGGACACATACAGAAGGTGGGCCGAGACTACTCCACGCTTAACAGCACGAAGATGATAGAGGAAGAAGAAGAATAAGCTATTATTAACTCTCCTACAACGTAGCATGAAACGCTTATCTCTTCAAATGAATTACTCGTTACCAATTCCATGAATAATGAAACATACCATCATAGGAAAGAAATTAACTATCATACAATTGACTCAAATTAAATTGCGATTAAATGTTCCATCTCAGTTTTACAACATTGATTTATGTTTTCCATGTTTAAAAATATGATTGTACATTATTTAATATTTTTAACAAATAACTTGAGATCTTTCTATATTTAAAATTTTATTTTTATGATTTTTTCTTTAGAACATTTAAATCTTCGGATCCGAGCTCTAATAATAGGCAGTCCAGTAAAGTCCAGGCAAAAATAAATAATGTTTGCAACTGTAAACAATATTTTTTCTCGGTTAATAAGAACAATTGGAATAAACGCCGGGGTATAAGTGTAATATTTTTCGATGTAGTATCACTGGAAAAAAAAAATTGAAATCGTTGAACCACTGAGTGTAAACTTCCTTCGTTAATTTAATTATTATTCAACTACAGATATCTCAATGTTTATATTTAGAAAAGTTAGCTACAGTTTCTGAGGTTAAAAAGTAAGGTCCTTAAAATATAAACCCGAAAAATATAATGATATAGATATCTTATTCTTCTTCAAAGGCGCGACAAATTCAATAGGCGATCCTTGTACAGCTCCAACGCTCTTGCTCAGGCTTCTTAGTCTCCAGCAAGAGACAGTGAAAGACCATACGCAGTCAGATCTGCAGCTTCACTATCCCTCCATCTGCCTCATGGTCTTCCACGCGCTCTCACCCCTCTAGAAGGCTAGAGTAGAGCGTTTTGTCTATTCGGTCGTTGTCCATTGTTAATAGGTTTCCAAACCATCTCAAATATTGTAATTTTATGAATTATAAAGGTATAGGTCCAGTTTATTATTCAGTAATAAAAATACTGGACACACAAAACAAATGTTCTGTAATATTTTGTACATAATCACTTTCTACACTTGTCAGTTTCACCAAAATTCATCGTTTTTGTTTTTCTTTCTCGTTGAAACTTGACTCGCATGGATAAAATAAATAGTCATAGACCGAGAATATCTTTTATTCAATACCTCAAAGCATAACATTCATTATTCACATTAAGGTAATGTGGTAAAGGTTATAAAAATGTGGTCTATCTCTGTATTTAAGTACACGATTGAAATATTAGACTAGTCCTACCAACCGCTGGACCTTAAAGTAAAGAAATCAGTTTCTACGGTGTATATTCTAAAGAAATAAAGTGGTAGATGGGTCATTCACTTTTTCAATAGCAGTTGTGAACAGAAGACACAGTAGAGCAATTATGCTGTCAATTATAATTCACGAGCAATGACTACCACTTTGACACTGATCAAAAACTTAATCCCCGAAAAATCTTGACCCACAAAAATATCAGTAACTAATGAGGTACTTCTGAGTAATTTAAGCATAATAAGTTCTTCAATGTCTTGGTTTGAAAATAAATTAATCACTGTGTCTCAGCGTTATTAAATATTACAAATTTACAGAGGTATCAAAGCCGCATTAGTTAAAAATGTCGGTATTATTTTATTTCACTTCAAGATACATTTATTTCGTATTAATAACAGCCTTTGTTATAATTTTTTTATTTATTTTTTTTTTTTTTTACTGCATTGTGTTTATGGTAAGAATGTGCTTCATTTAGCTCTAATACTCAGTGTCTTTAAGTTTGGCAAAATATATTATTTCCTAATAAAGAGATAAAAAAACAACAACATTATAATTGAAAAAATAATAAGATATATCACAATAAATCAAATTGAATATGTACATATCTTACGTATGCAGACGTTACTATATAGGATTTTACAAAGATATAAATAACAAAAATATGGATGTTAAATATTACAATATATATATTTTAATTTGTCGGCCCTAGACTTCTATTGAAGACCTACACTGATTTATATAAATATATATCACTAAGTTGTTTGCGATAGGTAATCAAAGTTAAGCAACGCCGAGCGTGGCTAGGATGGGTGACCATCCACCAAGAAAAGCCACGCTGCCTGAGATTCCCTCCCCCCCCACGGTATAAGAGACCTGTCAGTCTACTGGAGGCAACTCACACCGACCGGGCGTAATATTGATGACCCTACCCCGTACTTTAAATCGGGAATTGGAATATGGTCTAAGATACCACACTCACGGTCAAAGATCTTCATGATCTTTAGCGCCAACCGAAAAAAAGATATATATATATATATATATATATATATATATATATATATATATATATATATATATATATATATATATATATATATATATATATATATCGAAGTGTAATTGTAAACATTATAAAAAGTAAATCACTATCACGAAGGAAACTGTATATAGTTGTTAACGCCATCATTATTTTTTTATTATTATTTTTTCTCACCATTAACCTCTTTTAAATTTTAATAATGGAATAAATGTTTATTATTTTTTGTAATAGGCCGAGGGATATTGTGTATAATGGATATAATGTATATAAGTTTATAGTATTTATATATTTGGGTTTATTTTGAGATGTATTATCGCGTTATATATACGCACTAACCCGGCAGTAATACCCTTTCTTAGGGATTAAGACACAAATACTGCGATAATACTGCTGGGTCCTCAGTCTGGAGCTGGCCTTTGATGACACTTGATCCACGTAGTAGACGGCTTCTGCTGCAGCTTCACCTCGACCCACCAGCCTAGCGCCAGTTTTTGATATCAGCTGTTGGGCGTAGCTGAGTAATCGATTAAGATCGATACATATCGATCCCCTCACCATCGACTACTTTGACAGCTGAACATCAGGTAACCACTCTGGAAATATAGCCTTCAATTTGGGATATTTTCGTTCACCGTTACCACAGACATTTTTCTCTCTTGGTTTATTTATAGTTTTCAGAATTGGATTTTACTATATACTTTTTTTCCTAATGTTTAATTGTTTTTATTTTAACTGAACATTATATTTTATGTTTTCTTTTATTTCAGTGCATTTGAATAATTTTCTTTCTTCTCATTTGTTTGTTTTGAATTTTATATAAATCTTTTATCTCAATAAATATTGTAAGCATTTAGAAGGGGATTTTTTATTTTCCATTTTTTATGTATTGAAATATTTTTATTTTTTAATATTTTCTTATGTTTTACAGGTCTCATTTTATTCTTCTTTTTTTCCCTCTTTTCCAACGTTTTTAATTTTACTCTAATTTTCCCCATCATTGAGGAAACGCACCGGGGAAAGATTTGTACTTCGATTTTGGAGTACCCCTGACCCCAATAATAGTATTGATATTTTGAGATGAAAAATCGTTTATAATTATAAACGATGAAAGCATAATTATAAGAAGCATAATTATAATTATAACATTATATTTTATAATATTACATTAGAACTAGATGTAATGTGCGATTAGATAAAAGTTTTAAGTACATACGTTTTTTTTTTCAGGACGATCGGGTCGTAGGTATTCATATTCTTGGTCACAACATGTGTAGTCTCATTTCGGGCTTAGACGAGTTAATAGAAGAGGGTGTAACTAAAGAGGTTTTGATCGAAGTTTTAATCCAGAATGTATGTTGACAATTATTCATCCCTTTCTTACTTACATAAGTTTATTTATAAAACTGTTAGTTATCAATTTTCTTTTACTTATTTATTGAGAAATATATACAATCTGTCTCAATTAAGTTCATTTATAATAGTGTTAAGAGAGCACATTCACACTCTATTTAATAATCAAATTATTATCACGGTTCATAAATCTTGAATCGATCAAATGTATCCCAATTCTCAAATTGTTTCAGGATAAAATAATTGTTTTTCCCTCATCCCTGAACGGTAAAATGTATCATTCATTCATTCATGTATGGCACAACATCCCGTTACCGAGACTGGGCCTCCTCCAAGAGCCTCCGCCAGTTGGCTCTGTCTTCTGCTGCAGCTCTCCAGTTCTGCACACCAAGCAGGGTTCTCGCATCATAGGCCACGTTGTCCAACCATCTCGTCCTCGGCCTTCCTACCTGTCTTACGAGGTGCAGCTCCTCCATCATTATTTTTTTTGGTATTTCAAGGGTGCTCATTCTGGCCACATGCCCTGCCCACCTTATTCTGGCCAGTTTAATATACGTGACTACGTCGATGTCTGCATAGAGAGAACTGAGCTCCCTATTTTTTCTTTTCCTCCAGACATCACCCTCCTTTACTGGACCATAAATCTTTCTGAGGACTCCTCACTCAAAGACACTCAGCTTCATCTCATCCCTTTTAGTCATCGTCCAAGCCTCTGAGCCATATGTCAAAACAGGCCGAACAAGGGTCTTGTATATGATCAGCTTGGTCTTCTTTGAGAGGTACCTACTTCTTAAGTGTCGGCCAAGTCCAAAGACACATCTATTGGCAGCCGTGATCCTTCTTTGTATTTCTTGAGCCATGTCATTCTTGCTATTAATTTCAGACCCAAGGTATATAAAACTTTTCACTCTCTCAAACTTAAAAGAACCTACCTCAAATGGAGAGTTCAGATCCACCTCACCGCCAACTCTCATATACTTAGTTTTCCTCTCGTTGACTTCTAGTTCAGACCTACCTATTATGTCAATATCATCAGCAAAACCAAGAAGCTGTGTCAGGCGATTGAAGATTATATCTTTGGTCTGAATACCGGAGTCTCTTACAGCTTTCTCCTCTGCCAAATTGAACAATAGACAGGCGAGGGCATCCCCTTGCCTTACCCCACTGCTCACTTTAAACTCTTCGGAGTCGTCAGAACCGACGCGTATTCTGCATCTCGAGCTGTCCATGGTCATCTTGATTAGGCGTACGAGCTTCTGAGGGATGCTTAGCTCCTCCAAGGCTCAGTATAGTTGCGTTCTATCAACGCTGTCGTATGCTGCTTTAAAGTCCAGGAATAAATGGTGGGTGACTACCTTACGCTCCATAGTCTTTTCTAGGATCATCCTCAGAGAGAACAGTTGATCAATCGTTGAGCGTCCTCTTCGAAATCCAGCCTGATATTTCCCCAGTTCCTTTTCAGAATACGGGAGGATCCTCTCAAAAAGAATGTTAGAGAGCAGCTTATAAGCACACGAAAGGAGTGAGATTCCTCGATAGTTAGCGCATTCTGTTTGATCTCCTTTCTTATGTATTGGGCAGATAATGGCTGTTGCCCATTCCGTAGGCATAGCTTCCTTCTCCCAGATGGTCAGCATTAAATCATGCAGAGCTTTCTTGAGTTCTTCACCTCCACATTTCAACAGCTCTGACTGGATTCCGTCCGGGCCTGGCGCCTTTCCATTTTTCAATTTCCTCAGGGCGTTTTCCATTTCCTCCTCATCCGGGGGTTCAATAGAATTCAGGGAGTCTTCCTTCATTACACCTACTTCTCCAGGCACCGTTCCTCTGTTTAATGCGCCTTTGAAATGTTGTACCCATCTCCTTAGTACGTCATCTTTGTGGCTTAAAAGAGTTCCATTTGTGTCTTTGCATGCCGTCACTCTGCGCCTAAAAGCTGCCCTACCCTCGTTTATTCTCTGAAAGAACAGGCGACTTTCATTTTGGCCTCGCAATGCCTCTGTGTCCTCCATGTTCTTATTTTCCCAAGCTCTTCTCTTTCCGCGGAATAATCTCTTCTCTTCGCGTCTTTTTCTTCTATATGTTTCTTGGGAGAGCCTTGTGGGACGCTGAACCTTCTTTCTGTAGGCTTCATTTTTCACTTTTACTGCTTGAAGGCACTCAGCATCAAACCATGGGGGCCTTCTAGATTTAGTCTCGTAGCCAAGAGCTTCTTCTGCTGCCTGTTTCATTGCGTTGCTGCATCTCTTCCACTGTTCATCGACCATAGAGCTGTCATTAATTACTTCTTCATTAAGTTTCGTCTCCACAGCTTGTTGATACGAATATTGGTGGTCTGAGTCCTTAAGTTTAACCACATCAATCTTCTTCTTTGGTCGTTGGTAGTGGTTTTTAATCAGCGAAATTCGTGATCTGACCTCGGCAATGCTCAAATAGTGATCCGTGTCCATATTTGCACCTCTATAAGATCTTGCATTTATCATGTTGGACTTGTGACGGGCACTAATGAGTACATGGTCTATCTGTGATGCTGTTTGCCCATTTGGAGAGATCCATGTTGCTTTGTGGATATTCTTTCGAGGAAAAAGAGTTGTTCCAACAACCAGTCCGTGCAATGTAGCAAAGTTCACCATCCGTAGCCCATTATCATTACTGGTCTCATGCAAGCTGTGGGTTCCTATGGTCGGCATGAGTGCCACCTCCTTACCAACTTGTGCGTTAAAGTCACCAAGAATGATTTTAACATCATTTTTGGGGCAGCTTTCTGTCACGCGTCCAAGTTCTTCATAAAATGCTTCCTTATCCTCCTCAGGTGACACCTCTGTTGGGGCATGGCAGTTGATTAGAGAGAAATTAAAAAATTTTCCTCTAAGCCGAATGTAGCATAACCTTTGGTTAATGGGAGTAAATCGCATCACTAACTGTCGAGCTCTGCCTCTCACAACAAATCCGGTACCGAAGATGTGATGCTTTTCATGGCAGCTATAGTAGAGTGTATGGTACTTCTTCTCCATAATTCCCTGTCCTATCCATCGGACCTCTTGGATAGCTGCTATGTCGATTCTGTATGTGTCCACTTCTGCAAGGAGCGCACGAAGTGCTCCTAGTCTATGTAATGATAAAATGTTCCAAAATCCAATTCTTAGGTCATTTAGGCGTTTCCTGGGTCTGTTACCGTAATTCAGTCCGGCTTCTTCTCTTTGAGGTTTCGTAATAAGGTACTTTAGGGGGGGTGGGTTATCAGCCCACTGCCCCCGAGTCAGGTAGAGGGGCTGCCTCCTCCGAGCATCCTGACTAGCTCCCCCATCCGGGGCGGCTACCTAGGGAAGGTGACCCTAGGGTGTGTACTGTAGGTGACCTTTGTCTGTAGTGTTTAGGTGTTGTAGTGTGCTGTCTAAAGTGTACTTGGTGTGTGAGTGTTCGTGTAAGTGTTCCCCCAACCTGGAGGGCCAGTGGCTGGTTGCGGTACAATGACCGGGCGATGGGACCGCCACCTCCCTACGCCATGTAAAATGTATCAAGTTTACCAATAATGCGCAGAAGGGGCAAAATATTTTTGAGGGAGAGCAATCATCGGGCCCTTTCTCTTCTTCCTTCTAAGCTTGGCTTGTTCAACTGTTCCCGCCCTGACGTTGAAATGGGATAGGTTTGCTAACTTACAAGAGTAAAATGGAATGGATTTTTTTTTTTTTAAAATGAAGAAATAGATTTACACTACAATTTTCTCAAAAATATCGTAATTTTCGTGGTCCTTTAGTATTATAAATATTTATCAACAAGCAGGCCTTAAAAATATTTAAACTTCTTCTTAGTTCCACTTCTTTAATAAACAAATACGTTATTATTGCAAATCAGATACTATAAGTCAGAATTTATGTGGATACTATGTCATTGAAAAGCTGCGAATATCTTCCAATTTTTAAATTTTTTTCAAAAGATTTAGAACGAATTGTTAAAGAAAGATATCAACTCATAATTATGAAAAACAATATGCAAACAAAACATGCATTTGCATATATATTATTTTTCAACTTCTATAACAAATAAATATTTTATTAATGACAATCAAGAAGCTGAAAATCAGAATTTATACGTATAATATATTGTTAGAAAGCTGAAAATTTTAGAAAATAATAATATCTGGCATACAAAGCCGTAGACGGTAACGGAGGGTGATGAAAAAAATTGTGATTAATAATTTATGAAAACCAATATCATTTGACGGAATTCAAATGTTTCTTTGGAAAATAATTGAAATTATATAACTAAATTTAAACTTTTACAATTTTTTAAATTAAAAAAAATATAATCCAATGGCATTGTTTAAAATACTACTTTATTATACTCGTGTGAAAGGTATAAGACAGGGAGATCCATTATTTACAGTGCATTTCAACCTGGTATTGGAAACAGCCATAAGAAAAATAAAAATGAATAGCGGCAATACAATTAATAATCGGATAACACAGGATTTAGAATAGGCAGACGATGTTCTCATAAGAGCATGGACTGTACCAGCACTTTCAGGCGCTCTTGAGGAATTCCTAAGGGAAGCTGGAGCGCTAGGTCTAGAAATTAATGCAGACAAGAGCATGTACATGTAATGAAGAAGACGTGACTCAGATGATTGGACGAAGTGGAGGGTCATCTGAAGGAGATGGGTGTAAAGCGGTGGAGACGCTTCGTTGCTGACATAGGTATGTGGAAGAAGACGTTAGCAGAGGCCATGGTTCTTCACGGACTGAAGAGCCCAGCAATGAATGATGAAAGAAGAAGTTAAATATAAAAATATTTCACGAATGAGTAAAACATATGTTTATGATTTTTTTTTTCTTTAACTTTTATTATGATATTTACAACTGTATTAGTATGAATACATCAAGTAAATGTGTACAGAGAAATATTATCACATGAAACACGCTTGTTGAGAAACTACCCACTGGTAGCACTCTAATAATTTGTCTACATGAGAAGATCACGAGGCCATCTTCTTTTCAGAC